TACAAACCCTCCTCCCCTTGTCCATCAGCACCTGCTTGTCCATCGGAATTACCTTCATTATGATGTGTATTTGAACCTAAATTTAATTTATTGATAATACCTAAAGAAAATTGATATTTCCAATATTCTACCTGACCATTGTATATGAATAAGATCATTTCTATTAATTTGTAGATTTCTTGGTGTAAAATCATATTCAACAGCTGGATATGTTTGAACAATATTTCCACGTTTACCTAACATATTCCAATTATAAATATTTTCATTATCATTTATACCATCTAGATTTAAAACAAAAACAATTAAAAACTTTCCGTAAAAAAAAAGTTTTTTTACTTGGTCTCGGTAAAATTTCGAAAATATGTGTTCGATCTTGAAATGTTCGACCAGTTTGATCAGTATTTAAATTAATTTGTAATTGAATACCATCATCAACAATAACAACAGGATCGTTTTTTACTGGTGATTTAACTTTACTATAATTAAATTTAGAAATTTAAATAGAATTTAAAAACAAAAATATTTACCCATTACTAGTTGAATTAATATTATATAAATCATAATCAAATGTTGAAATATTATAACGAATTCGAGCTATACATCGTTTAATTTTATTCGATGGAAAACTTGGTATAGTCCAATCATATGATAATGGTTCAGCATCAGATTTTAATCCAAGATAGTTTGATCGTGACCAAGGAGCTTGAAGACATGATAGATCTTGTTGAGGATGAAGTACAAGACATTCTTCTTTTACAGTAATTGTATCATGAGGAACTTGAAAAATAAATTGATTGCTTTTCTTTTTTATTACAAAAAAAACGAAAAAAATTCTATACTCACTTGCCCATTTGTATTGATATCGACTTGATGAAGCTTTTTCACATGATACTTGTGTTGTGTATCCTAAAAGAAATATGAATGAAGGATGAAAATCTTATTCTATTTTTAAAAATTTATTTTAACCTGGAGCTTTTTCAAGATAGGAATATAATAATAACCATTTACCACCCTGTGATGTACAATTTACTTCATTATTAAATTTTGTTGATGTTCGTATACCATTTCTAGTTTCAATACAATCATGTCGAGGTTTGCCATTAAAACTTTCTTGTTGATAAAAACTAAAATTAAATCAAATAATAATAATTTATTTTCTACTATATTTAATTTACTCACCTACACCTACTAGTATTACTTGTTAAAATAGCTATATCAGCCCATGGACTAATATAAGGCCAATAATCTCGTTCTTCGGGACATTCATAACCATATTTAGTACCCGCACTATCTTGTCGAGTATAAATAGCTGTATTACCTTGTAAGGTTTGATCAGCTATAAAAAGACCTATAAAAGAAAAATTCATTTGTAATATTGAACAAATATACATATGAAAATTTACCTTTATTTCGTTCACGATTATGACATCGATCATAATAATTCCATGATTCATGAAGTCGACGTGTTGTTTTAACATCAGCTAATTTACCAGCTGCATCAGATGTTTTTTCTGGTGTATATGTTTGAGGTGATGTTTCGACTCCATTACGAAATTTATCTAAAAGAAAAAAATTTTCGAATAATTTTTTTCTTTTTTATAAAATTTATATATATATTACCAAGATCATTTTCATTGATATCACCATCTTGACACATATATTGAAGAATAAGATCACATGTTTGTTTTGTTGGATTTGTTTCTTCATTACCACCACAACCATGTTGATTTGTCCAAACAAAACGTAAAATTGTTTTACCAGTTGCACCACTTTGAAAGAATTTCTAGTTTAAAATAGAAAATTTTTTAAATTAATTCTACAGTAGAGTTATAAATAGAGAAACATCACTAGTATGGTGACACTGTTACATCCATAGTTTTGAATGATTTGCGTTAAATTTTATTTTATTTAAAACATCAACTGAATTTCTATTGATGTGTCTTTGAAACTTTGTGTGAAATATTCTTTTTCTTTTATTTTTAAAAACTTCAAATTTTTTAGATATAGAAAACAAATATACGAAATAAAATTATTTTATTGATATTTTCTACTTTCAAATAATTGAAATACAAATTATCGTTCAAGTCAATTGAGAGTATGATAATCGATAAATACAGTTTCTTTCATTCTATATATTAGGAAACCGTGTTGTTTAGAATTTCGTCTAAACTTTCATTTTGATCAATTTAAGATTTATGGTTTTAATGAATATGTGTGAAAACACCTTGTTTGCAGCTTATAAGGGAATCACCTGAACTGATATTCACCATTCGAGTTTTTAAAATCTAAAAATGTTACAAATCTATTATATCGAAAACATCAATGATGAATCGGCTCAGTTTTTATCCAGCGAAAACAAAAACTTAAGACACTGTTAGTATTTTATCGATTTTGGCATTGTCAAAGAACAGAAAATATTTTAAACTGTAAGGAAAAGTTTCAAAACTCTGCGAAACAATGTATTCGGTAGATGAGAGTTTGTTTTATCGAATGAGACCTAATATCCTTTTTCACAACGCAATCTTGCAATTGGATAACGTTTTCAATATTTATTAGTAATTTTCACGATAGTTTCTACCTATTTTTCACCTTGTTTTGGCTACACTATTTTCAACATGCTGTATCTTATAAATAGCACATTGTATAAAAAGCCGCTAGGTTCTATCTGATAAAACAAACTGTGCTCTACAATATACATTGTTTCTCAGAGTTTTGAAATTTCCTCTTGATGCTCAACCATTAATATAATATTAATTAAATTTTAAAAGAATGCTTAAAAAATCTCATTAAGATCGATTGTTGTAAAACAAAAAATACATGATTTTGCTTAGTTTTCAATGCTCTTTCTTATAGTGTGCTTCAAAACTGAAAATTATGACAAAATTTTTCTAGAACTGTTAATTAATATATTATTATTATAACCATTATTTTTGAAACGTTTTCTGTTCTTCGACAATGACAAAATCGATAAAATACAAAAAGTACCTTAAAATTTTGTCCTCCACTCTATCTATGTACGAAATTCTGTTTTTTTTTAAATTTTTCGGCGCATATCTAAAGCTAGATCGAAAATTCAGTGAAAGGATCATAACTTGGCTCTAAAGGTCCATGGAACAAATCCTTCAAGAGTTTTGCTAATCTTATTAAGACGTCTGTATAGGCTCGAAATAAACTCAAATGGTGAGTATCAATTGGGATAGCTCTCTTATAAAATACAATCATTCATTCTTTTGTTATACTTATCGCTAATATTCGTAGTCATGACCGTTTATCCTTGTCTATCTTAATCAACGAATCATTATATCATTCTCAAATATGTACCCATTTTGTTTTACTTCACAAGTACTATCTTGTCATCTATAAAAGTATGAATCATAAAAATTAAATAATAAATAACTTATTGTTTATTCTTATCAATATTCGAATATTATATTTTAATATGAATTACATACCCATGTCTACTCGTACGCTATTGGTACGCGTGATGTCACGCTATGTCATGCTTAGTACGCGTGACATAACGCGTACGTCATGCGCACCGAGCATAACAGCCGTTCGTGATGCGTAAGAAGCGTGACATCCGTTTGTCACACGTACCAAGTGTGATATTTTTCTTTTTTTTTATTGGTTCGTTTTTATGAACCAGTAAATAACAAAGAAAGCACACTTATAAAATTGTTAGTCGAAGGCCATATCCTTTACTGTTTCAAAAAATTTTGAATTGTTTCAAGTTTTAAAATTATTTTATTATTTAAATTTCTTTTATTTCTAGATCAAGTAATTGGTTTTTTATTCCTTTATTATTTAAATTTTTTTCTAGATATAATAATTTTTTTAGCACTCTAGTTTCTTTTCCTAGATAAAAATAATTTCAATTTTTTAAAATTTTTTTAATTATTTTAGCTTTCTTTCTAGATGCAATGATTTCTATGTTTTTAGTTTTTTTATTAATTTAATTTTTTTAACTTTTTAAATATTTTAGTTCTTTCAATTTTTTTTGTGGAAAAAAATAATTTCTAATTTTTTATGTGTATCTGTGTGTTTTTCGAGTTGTTAAATTTTTTAAAATATAAATAAAATTCTAATAGAAAATAAATTATTTTTCTACAGTTAATTAGAAAATCAGACGAAGGTAGCACGTAGATTCTAGGATAAAAACGGACCAATAGAGAGACGTGTTACAAACTGTACGTACGCTTCGTACGCGCCGTAGTACGCTATACACGTAGCGCTCGGAACGCGTGACGGTATCATTGACGTAACACTCTGTACGCGTGACGTCACCTCTACGTACGTCACGCGTACCAATCGTACGTGACGTCACGCGTACCACAGCGTACGAGTAGACGTGGGTAACTAAATTAAATTCAAATTCTTGATTATCTCAAACAAAAAAAATTTCTTTTGTTTTTTTTTTATTTATATATTTTAAACTTACAAGATAATATTGAAGTGAAGAATTTGTACCATATGCTTGATTAGTTGCATCAGGAACATTATAACCACCTTTATTATTATTTTGAGAATCAAATGCATTTTGTGCATTTGCACGATTTGCTGTACGTTCATTAACACGATTATTTGAACCCGGTGGAAAATGAAAATAAATATCAGCATTAACAACTGATATAATTAAAAAAATACCAAAATAAAATCGAGTCATTCGTATTAAACTGTTGAAGGTAAAGAAGAAAAAATGAAATCAATTAATCATTCATTCATTCTATTCCTACATTATATTTTTTGATGATTCATAATCAAAAAAAAAATATATATTTTTTTAATTGGTCTTAAAAAAGACCCGTTATAAAAAATATGATTGATGTCGCTCTGATCGATATTAGTTATAAAAGGCAATCTGATAAGCTAATCTTCATAGGGAAGCAATTGAAAGTAATATTACCTATCCTTCTCATTTGTTTTGTTTGTTTGAGTGAGAGTAAACAGAGATAACGAACAGCACATCTTCATATTATTTCTATTTAAAAAACAAAATTCCCATGTTACGATCAGCAAAAAAAATTAAACTTGAACATGATACATATGCAAATAATCATCAAAAGACAACTAAACAACATCCTCAATCTGGACAATATATGACATTACGAATTGATGATGATGGAGTAAAAAATAAAATAATTTTCATTCATTCTTTTATATACATATATTTTTTTTTCTAGCCAACTAATGAAATTCCATGTCCATCACCAATACCAAATCCAAATGAACAATTAATACCACAAGGTTTAGCTATTGTTAATGATACAACACAGGGTGAAACAGAACGTCATACTGAATTTAATGGTCGATTTGTTAGTCTTGTTTCTCTATTACGTGTTATTAATACTGTATATAGGTAAATAATCATTATATTATTAATTATATTTCTTTTTATTTTTTATTTTTTTAAAAGATCAAATTTAACATCACCAAAATGGAAAAATTTTCGTGGTTCACGTATTGAATGTCAAGATAAGATACGTATAAATAATGTTATTTGGAGAACATGGCATCAACAATGTAAATTAATAAAAGAATAGATATAAAACATAATGAAATTTTTGTTTTATATTATTTTAGATAATGGAAAAACTAAAACACTTGTTTGTCGATTTGTTTCACCACTCGATGCTCAAACATCAACAGTATTGATTTGTAATAATAAAATAATAATTGAAAATTTTTCTTTTTTTTTTCTTATTAGACTCAAATAAATCATCAATTAAAACAACAAATTACAAATAATTTAAAAGGTGAATATATGAAATGGAGAAGATTAAGTTATAAAACAACATTACATCGAACAGACATTGATTCAAGGGTATAATAGAATTCTTAAATAAAAATAATCTTTCATGTTTATATATTTTTGTTTTTTTTTTTTCTTTAAATAAAGACTGTTGAAGGAAAACATCTTTGGGGTAATATAAGTGAAATTCATACATCAAAAATAAATTCAAATTTTCGTCGTATAAGAACACCATCACCAGATTCATATAGTGCATTAGATGATTATGATCTAGTTGCTGATCAATTACTTTTTTCAACAACAAATGCATTTAATGATAAAGATTCTGGTAAGTTTTATTTCAAAAAAAAAAACAAAAATTCGCAATTTTATTATAATAATTAATCAAATGATTGGAAATTTACTTTTGTTTTTGTTTTCTTCTTCTTATACTATCATAGATTGCCCACTCTCAGGTAAATAGTTATTTTTACATACATATGTGTACCTATTCATCATGTCTTGTTTATTCTGTGAATGCTCGCATTTTCCTTTAGTCGATTTAACTGATTATTAATATATCTAAATACCAAAAAACTAAGAATAGAATTTAATCGCTTTTCCTATTTCGTGATGGTTGCAAGATACTAATTGCAGTTTGTTTTTTCTGTCTGTAAAATTAATTTTAAAAATAAAAATAAGTGTATTGATGCTATTTTTTGTATTTATAGTACTTGGTGGTAATCCAGATTTATATCAACCAATTATGGGACAATATTATTTTGATTTTCATACATTGGATATGTTTGATCCATTAAGTAAATTTAAAATTATTTTTAGAGATTTTTATTTTTTTGTATTTAGATGATGATTTTACTTCACGATGTAATAATGATTCTGTAAGATATTGATTTTTTTTTATTATGTGTAAAATTCGAAAGAGAAATACATATCATTTTTACTTAAAAATAATTAAATAAGAAGAAAATTTATGAATTCGATTACATCGTATTATCAATAAGAAATTATATGATTAGTTTCACGTTTTCTTTTGTTTCTCATCTTAGAATAGAAATTTTCTATTGACAAAAAAATTTTGATTAAGATTTATATGATAAATTACAATTAGGAGTGTCCTGAAGTTACTAGAATTGAAGAGAATCAATGATTTAAAAGGCCAATTGAAAGGTTATTGCAAAATTTGACTGAATTGAATAGAGGACAAAGGACAAAGGATGAAGTCTAATTATCGTGTAATTTATTGCGAAGTTACATTCTATATATAAGGATTGACGTAATAAGAATGTCTATTTTAATAAACAAGAAAGAAAATTCCAACAAGCGTGACGAAAACAAAAGAATATATTCAGGTGACAAAAAAGAATAGAAAATGGAAAAGTCCATAAGTCATGAAGGAAAGAAAAAGAAAATAGAACACATTGTGACAAAAAAAAAAAAACTACAGTGAGATAGAAACAACACGTCATGAATCTTGATCACTCTGCGATAATAATCAAATTAAAAAATATGCTGAAACTCCGCTGGAGATGAAAACAAAAGAAAATTTTTCAAAATGACGAAGACCATACACATTAGTACAGCTATTATCTCTTATATAGAATTTTTACATAATACGAAAGCGTACTGTTCGAACTCTCAGAAATCAATGAGTAAATATTCTAGATATTTTATATTGAAGAAATTATAAACATTCATAGGAAAATTCCTTTGAGAAATAAAGCAAAAACAAACAAATTAAAACTTATCGTTATTTTGATAGATCTAATGCCCTACTTGCATACAATATCATCGATTAAAATAGCAGTATGTTCCACTGTTCTTATCTATTTCATAAAAAAAAACCTTCATCATATATATATATATATATATTCACATTGTTCTAGTCGGAATTTGTACAAAAAGGCTAGATATGTAGAAGGTTAAATAGTATGTTGTCGAAAAAATTTACATTAAATCAGTAATAGAGATATGCACGGTAAGCTTTTACCGTATTTTGACAGAGAAAAATTTTCCAATTCTTACCTTTGCAAATCTCTAATCAGTAACTTATATAAACAGAAATATGATTAGATGAACATACAAGGAGTTTATTGATAATCAATGATTTTTATTTCCAAGAAAAAAAAAAGATAATTTAAGAGAATCCTCCTCGGCTTTTCCGAGTTTCCTCTGGAACGGTTCGACAAAAAACCGATGAAATTTTCAGGGTAGATAGATTTCGATAAATAGAGCAAAAGTTATCATAGACTCAAAATTTCTAGATGCCTCCTTCAGAAAGATATGGAGGTTACAAAAAGCAAAAATGGCCAAAAGTTTTCTCTTTCGCAAAACTCTATACTTCATTTTTTCCAAGCTGCAATTTTTTTTTATGACAATTAGGATCAAATCGGAGTGCGGTTCTTTTTTTTCTTTCCAAAATATTGTAGAAGCAAAATATTGGAAGCACCGTCAAAAAAAAGCGAGAAACTTCGTTTTGAGAAAAACGCAAAATGAACTCTCAACACCTTAAGAAATTATGATTAGGAAAATTTTGCATACACAAAATAATTGCAGCACAATTTTTTCTACTACGAATTTCAAGAGTGGAGCTTAATAAAAATACTAACTAACAACAAAGAGCCCTCATTTGACAGAGGACATTTCAAAGGTATATTAGTAAATGAAAAAGCAAAATTGAATCATTTCTGGTCCTTCACGAGAGTACAACTGGTCAAGTTCAATTTTTTTTATCACAGTTAGATTATTGAAAATGATGAGACTTAGATTCGAAGAAAAAATTTTAAAAGTAAATCTTCAGATGTTTTGCCAGTTGGTGCTTTCTATATTGTTCTAATGAAAAGTTAATATTTCTCAAAAAGTTTGTAGACACGTCTGACACTTTGTTTCAGATACCTTAATCACATGATATTCAAAACATTCTTAGAAAACTTATTTGTATAGGTTATATTTTTAAAATAATATTGATAAGAAAATTCGATAGGGTTATGTATTTTAAATTTAGCTATCAACATTAAGTAATTATCAAAATCAATCCGATTTTACATTAGATGTATCAACACAATCACAACAAGATTTAAGTAATTTTCAAACATTAGTTTCTGTTGCTACAGAACGACCACATTTAACAATTGAACAACAAAACAATATTATAAATCAGAATAATTCCAATGTAAATTTAATTTCTTTTTAAATGTTATTTATTTTCGTTTTTTTTTTATTTCGAATAGAATAATGTTCAAATGAATGTAAATAATATGAATTCAATAGCTATATGTAATAATATAGATTATCAACCATTTCATACTTATACACAAAATTTATCTCAATCAATTCGTAATAAAAATAATAATCAATTGAATACCAATGTAAATGATCATATCTGGTTTTTTTTCTATGCTAATATATAAAAAAAAAATGTTCATTCGTTTTTTTCTTTAGAATATTGAAGAAATAATGCCTATTACAAATATATCTATGACACAATCAACTAATATTGTAATGAATACTTCACAAACATCATTATCTCATAAATCTAATGAAATACGACAACAACAACAACAACAACAACAAACTGATCTATCAATTTGTAAACCACCACCATCATCAACTCTTGTTGATCTTCTAAAACAGAGACGTAGTCCACCAGTATCAATGCCAGCAGTAACAACTAGTCAACAAAAACAAAATTCAATTGTAAAACAATCAAGAAAATCCTCTAAAAAATCACAAATACAAATAAAACGATTATCAGCTTCGAATGATAATAATATAAGAGTAAATTAAAATTATTTATTTGAAAATTCTTTTTTATTTTTTCATTTTATTATATTTTTTAGAATATAACAAATTCAAATGAATTAGCTATAAATTCTACTTTAACTGGAAGAAGAAAAACGCGACGTGTTGTATCGCGTTCAACATCCGAAGAAATACCTTTAAGTTATACACAACAACAATTTCCTATTCCAACTTCATCATCAGCAAGAAAAAAGAATGCATCCATATCAAATGATGCGATCTTTTTGAATGGAGATGGGGTAAAGTTTTTACAGTAGAAAACAAATCGAACTTATTGAGTTTATTATCTATTTAAATCTCTTAAATATTCAGTATTTGCTTTGAAGAACTTCGAAATGAATAAGTTAAATCCTGAAATGAGATTTTTGAAAATAGAGAAGTTCATTTCGAGTTTCATTTTTATTTTTTCAAATTTCTTCATTGAATTCTTTTGCAATGAATTTTAATCATTGGGTAATAGTTATACCTGTTTTTCACTACTTAGCAATAGGTCATATCGGATTCAAACTTTTCGGACCTGAACTCATTTGATCAACCTTTCTCGAACTCGGAACCAGATCCGGTGGAAACGCATACTTTGATACTCAATGAAAATTTTAATCGTTCAGATGATACAAGATACTTTTTTCCGGTTTTTTGAATTCAATGACTCGCACATCTTACACATTTTTCAGATGATAAGAGCTCGTCCGGTCCAAAATTCTCGAATTCGCATTCGAGGCCAATATGAAAAGTTCTACTTACGAGGAAACTACCCCGCACTGATACTCGCCGTTTGGACTTACATTAGGCCTACAAGAACATCTTGAGATCACTAGCAAAACTCTAATAGGTTCATTACTATAAGCCTGTGGGGGCCGAGTTTGAATTGTTTTACTGAGTTTTCGATCCAACGTTTGGTATCTAGTGGAAGATTAAAAAACAGAATTTCAACATGAAATTTTGTCTTTAGATAGGTCGAATAACCCGTAGAATCTACAGATCATTCGTCCTATTTAAGAACAAAATTTCCTGTCGAAATTCTAGTTTTTGATATTTCAGTATATACTTGTAGTTGAGTGGAAAATTCAGTAGAACGATCTTAACTCGGCTCCAAAGACCCATGAGGACAAATCGTTTTATACTTTTACTAGTGACCGTTTTTGTAGACTCTATACAAGCTCAAATACCGGGTATTAGTTTGGATGGTTCTTTCATCAGTGCAAAAATCTCTTAGCATTAAAATCAAGAAATGACATTGAACAATGAATATAAATTTTCATCGAATAATAAAACAATTTATCGAATCAAGCTTCTAATGAACGTATAAATTTGATAGATAATTGAAAATTTCATTAACTTCAGTCTTCAACTTACTATTCGATAAACTGTACACTTTATTTAACTTTTACGTTATAAAATTTTATAATTTCTTTCTTTTTCAGATACTCGATTCTTCTCCATCGTCATCATCAAGTGGTGGACTAGATGCCGAAAGTAAACGTCGTCGAAATATAAAAGTAATTCTTTATTAATCTTTGTTTGTTTGTTTTTTTTTCTCAAATAGAATATTATCTTTTCATTCACATTCTTTTTTTTCTTCTTCTTCTATAGAATGGTTTTGATAATCTTCGTTTTCTTATTCCAGAACTAAATAATCCCACTAATGCAAAAAAAAGTAAAGCACAAATGCTTGAATGTAGTAAGTAAATATATTCTATCTTCAAAATTTATAATTATTTTCAAATTTTTTTTTTTAAAGCTGCTAATCAAATTCAACAAGCTACTGAAATACGTGATAAAATGAAAAATGAAGTTGATCGATTACAACAAGAAGAAGAACAATTAAAAGAAAAAATTTCACAATATCAAGCAAGTTTACCTATTGATGGTATACCTTCTGTACCAACAGCAAATCGTTCACGTGAAGCATCATATACATTATTTCATTCTTATGTTGCTGATCGAACACGAAAACATTGGCATTTTTATCCATATTCACTTGTATTAAAACGTTTATTTGATACATATCAAAATACAGTTAAATGTGAATCATCAGAAGAATTTCAACGTTCATTAAATGAATGGAAAACAAATTCATTAACTCTTGTACAATTACGACAAGCTGCTGCACAATCTGTTATGGATATGGGACGAACAACATCTCTCATATCATGTAAATTATATTACGAAAAAAAGAATAATTAAATAATTAAAAATGTTTTTTTTTTGTTATTTTAGCACCTGAACAAGTACCAGAAGAATGTGTTCGTTTAGCATTAAGTGATTTCTAGTGACTATGGGAATGTTTTTTTTTTCTTTAGTAGTCTTTCGGGTATTTTTTTTTTGTTTTATGGTATCATTGCCTTTATTTGTAATTGTTCGTTTCTACTTTTTTTTTTTCTTTGGTTTTTGTTTTGTATTTGTACAGTATATCTATTTAGTTAGGTTTTTTTGTAGAAATCCATCTATGTGCGCAATGTATTTATCAAGAAATATATTAAAATTATGTGTACTTGATATGATTTTTTTTTTGGTATAAATTGGAAAGTAAAATAAAAGAAAAGGAAAAGGGAGAAAAACGAATGACAAATGTATACATGAGCAGTGTGATAATATAAGAGAATTTATTTATTATATCAATAAAATAAAACTCATTTCTGAGAATTTCATACATCTTTCAAAAACTTGTTTAACAATTGAAGGTCGTGTACACTCAGTTAAGGTGATTGAACACATTTGAGTCAAATGTGAATGTTCTCACTGTCAAGCTAATTTAATTTAAAATATGAATTGCCCGTAGCATGCACAAATCGAGATGTTCAAATTTCAATGTATTTATAGTCTATGTCATGGAACCATACTTCACAATTTCAGCAGCATTTTTTGGGGTGCGAATGTGAACTGAAGAGAAGACATACTCGCACCCTAGACAATTCGATATGTTTTATAACCCGGACAAAGGAAAAAAACAATTTTTGGAGAAATTTTTATTAGTCTAGAAAATTGGCATATGAAGACCTAAGGGAAGTTTTCAATGCCATATTCGGAATCAGTATGGTCAGTAACATACAATCAACTAGCTTTCGGTGAGAAAGCGATTGATCAATTGCAAACGATCCTTCATGAGAGTAGTTGCGTACCTCATCATCGAAACGAAGATCGTCGAATGCCTGTCGATTATCTATGTTCGTGAGTTTCGTTTCAACAACCATTCATTACATTCATTCTTTCTGAATATTTGTCATATATATATATACTGCAGGTCTCATCTCAGAATATTGCCGATAGAGTCGCTCATTGAAATCAAGATTGCTGAAAACAGACATTGCTGATAGTCACATCGTCGAAATGCAAGTCATCGAATTTTGTTGTTGTGATTTTCAGCAAAGAGCATAGTGACCGTAGGAACATTGATTTGACCCAAATATGGGTGATCATTTTAACTTACAGCACATGACCTTCATTTGTAAGGTCAATATTTTTTTTCAATCTACGAAGCATTTTGACATACATATTTTTTTTATCATATAATTAGAAAAAAAAAACGTCTTTATTAGAAAAATAATTTATAATGAGAAAACTGAACATTATGATTGTCACATGTTTCATAATTACAGAATTGAAATTTCGATTTAATTGGATAACTATGTTTAGTGCGTATGTCATGTTCAAAAAAACAAACAAACATTTTTCAATAATCATCCTTAAAATATCTTTTTTTTTGTAACACACACAAAATAAATAAATGACAACTACATAAAAAAAAATAATAATACAAATCGTACAATTCACTAATTTGAAGATATATTCTTTATTGATCTTCTTCTACATCTGAATCACTACTGTCTTGTTCATCGGGTAATTTTTGAGGTGCTAATTCTTTAACGAGATTAAAATATCGATCATCTTTCGTAAGTGTAAGTCGACGTTCACGAGCTTCTAATGCACGTTTTTTAATAGTATAATCATCATCTAAATCAGGTGTAGCAGCAATATTTGATAATATTCGAAATAAAACAGAACCAAAATCATTTTCAAGTCCTAAAGTAGGACTTGAATTTCGTTGAGTTTCTTTATCAAAACGACTTGTTCGTGGCCGTCGTGGTGATAATTTTGGTGTATTATTAGCTATTGATGTTGAATGACTAACTTTTGTTTTAGCACTTTGTCCACGTCGTGCATCAACAGCAGATTTCGAACCTTTTTTTACAGATACTTTATCTTGATGAGATTCTAAAGGAAAAAATTAAATTCCTTTTATTTTTTTTTGAAATTAATTCAATGATTTAACTCACTAGGATGAGCACTAGTCGATTTCGCAACATTTTCAATAATAACTGATGGAGTTCTGTCTGATTCATTTTCTATATCTTTGTCTATATCATCTGTTTTTTGATTAGCTATTGTTTTTTCAATTAATTGTTGTTCAAATAAAAATTTTTGTTCTTCATCTTGTTTTGTTCGTATTCTTAATGCAGCAGCTAAATCAGTACCTAATTCACGTTTTAATTTTAAACGAAATGCACGATCATACATTCTCCAACGTTTATGTCGTTCATTCATTGTTCTTTGAAATGTTTGTTGTTGCCATTCAAGATTATTTATTCGACGAGCTTTTGTTTTTTCCATATCCTCTAATTCAACATTAGCTGCTGCTTGCAATTTACGACAACGTAAAACAGCATCCGGTAAAACAGTTGGAATACCTTTACGAGCATACATAATGAATAATTTGTTTAAAAAAAAATGAAAAGCAATTATATAAAAAAGAAAAAAAATACAGAAAGAAATTTCTATCGAACATAACAAAAAAATATTTTAAAGTCAATTTATTCACTATGGAATATCAATAAGACACTTGAGACACCAAATGAAAAACTAAACAACAAATGTATTTATGTAAGTTTTGTTTTTTAGATAAAATTCAATATTTTTTCAATCGAACAATACATTTAATAAAACATTCAGAGTACATTTGACATAAAAATCATCAATAATTGATAATATGGTTAAGAAAATTTTTATATTAATCATTGGAAAAATAATGTTCATATATTTAAATAGATAAGATGAAAACTAAATCGATTAATGAATATATTTTAGGGTATTTTTTTTTCTCTGTCATTTTGTTTAATGATTCAATATAAGAAAAACAAAATTATTCACATAACTATGAAGAATAGAATAATAATTTAATAACACTTTCTTTAATACGAATAAATTCATTATTAAATCTCATAATAAAATATATTTAAGTTTTTTTTTTTTTTATTTTTGATTTATCACATAATTTATACTTTTCGCTCGTATTTTTTATTTTGTTGAAAATCTAATTAAAATATTTTTATCTATTCATATGTAACACATAACAATTAGAATCATGTTAACTATCTATTTTACTCATACAATAGGTATAATACATATAATACGTTTTATATGTATAATTATTTTATTAACATGTTCTGAAATAAAAATTCCATTATGTCATACATATTTAAATGAATTTCTTGGTTTTAATCATTCATCAATACATTTTTATTATATATTAATATGGATATCATTTACATTTGAAATATATTTTCTTATTAATCGTTTATTTGCTTCTATAATAATAAAAGCTAAAAAATTAACTAAAATCTTATATTTATTATTATGTTTATGTTATATTCTTGCATCATGTTTTACATTATATGCATTAATTAATTCATCAAATGGACATGTTATAACTCAACATGATTTTTCAAATCCACCACAAACAATTATTATTTTACCATCGAATTGTAATTTATTTCGTTTAATTGGAATTCTATTTGGTTTTCTAATTAGTTTTCTCTATTTCTTTGCTATTATCTTAATTCATCGTTTAAAAGATTAAATAAAAACAAAAAAAACCACCACATATTGTTTTTTTTTGTTGCTTTCTTTCAATCATATCCAAAAAATATATATACATACACATACAGAGATGATGTTGAATGAGAAGAAAAAGAGATTACTCATATTTTTTTTGTAGTAAAGAAAAAAAAAACAAACAAACAAACAAACAAACAAAAAAAAAAGAAGTTGATATGTATACACAAAGTTTGAGATTGTTTTTCTGTTTTGCTTTTATTTTGTTCATTCTCTAAATTTTTTTGTTTTTATTTTTTGTTAACGAACTCAAAAACGAACGAAGAAAATCATTTACATATTTTTCATACTGTTGAGTTCGTTTATTAATTCAAGTACTTGTGGCGAACGTGTTGGTGAATGTACATTATCACGAAGTAAACAATCAATAAATGATAATGTCATTTCAAGTTTACCATATGTTATTTCAAAAACTGTATATGTTGCAAATAATGTACATATTGCTGTTAAAAAATCTGTTAATGGTCGATGAAATAATTGGACATAATCTAATTCAATATTATATGCAATTGATGATGATGATTTAGCATCAAAAAATATTGTAGCTGGATGTTCACCACGAATAATTGGCCATGGAGATTGTGTATCCTTGAAAAACAAAACAAAAAAAAAAAGCGTTTTTTTTTGAAAAAAGAAAATAATTTTTGGTTTTTTACTTTATCTGGTGCAATAAGTAAAAATTGATATTCACCAAAATAACATGCAACAATTAAAATAGCGAATGTATCAGCTAATACTAAAACGAAAAAAAAACAAAACATTATTCCTAACAAAGCATTAAATGATTATATTACTTTGTTCTAATTGTGGTCGTTGAGATAGAATAGTATGATATGAAAGAAGTATATCCGGTGCACAACCAGTTTCTTTAGCAAGACGTATAATTGGTTTTGATATTGAACGAAGTTTATGTATTAAAACAGTTTGAATAGGAATGTTTGTTTGCATATGAAAATCAGCAAGTAACTAAAAAAAAAAAAAGAATTTTTTTTTCTTCTAAAAACAAACGAGAATAAAATGAAATACAAACACATGAATGTAATTGTAATGCTGGATATTCGGTAAGAATTTCAGTTGTATTATGTGTTTTAACAAAATTTCGTCGTATTTCAAATGTCTCTTTAAAATAATCTGATATAAGTGATATATCAGGATCATCTGTAGCTGCTAATGTTTCCTGCATAGCTGTTATACAACTACGTAAACGATTTGCTTCATCTTCATCAAGTTCATCATTATTATCACTTGTTTGATCCTATATTTGAAAAACCAAAAATAAAAATAAGAATTTCCAAAACAAAAAAACAATCTCTTACAGTATCCTTTCCATTTGTTGGCATTTCACCTGATTCATATTGTCCATCGTCAGAATCAACTTCAA